GAAACTTAGGAAAGTAATTGACAAACACAGTTTTAGTATAGGGTATAATGTGAAGTTGATGAGTACAAAGTGGTTAAGCAAAATAATTCAAAGTAGCTTGAAAAACAATCCAAGGATGACCATAAAGGATAACAAGGAGAAGGCACAGAAAAATCGAAATGTTGGGGTCAATAAAACCAAAGCAATAAGAGCAAGATTTGCAGCTAGAGACTATGCTGATGGTTCTTTTTTGGGAGATTACACAACAGTTTATGACTATTGTCATGAAATGTTAAGAGCCAATCAAAGGTCAACCGTTAAGATCAATGTTGATCTTGTACAAGAAGGTGTTGAAGATCACAAGCCATATTTTAGAAGGATTTACATATGCTATGCTTCCTGTAAGGAAAGTTTTAGGTTGTACAGACATGTAATAAGTCTTGATGGGTGCTTTCTAAAAGGGTTGTGTGGAAGGAATATTCTGGCTGCCATAAGGAGAGATCCTAATGACCAGATGCTTCCCATAACATATGCAGTTGTGGAAGGTGAAAACAACGATAGTCGGACTTGGTTTTTAGAGTTTTAATTGATGACCTTTAAGGCAAAGATCAATGTCTAACATACACATTCATCTCAGACCAGCAAAAGGAAAGTATTCAGTTATTGTCACGCTACTTTATTTTTCTGTTTTGTAAACAAAGTTTGTTATGCTATTCTTTTTCTGTCTTGTAGGGCCTACTACCTACCATGGATGAGTTATTTCCAAGTGTGGAGCACAGGTTTTGTGTTAGGCATCTCTATAACAATTTTAGGAAGAGGTTCCTGGAAAGATGTTGAAGGACATAATATGGAAGGCTGCCAAGTCAACATACCCACAAGCATGGGAAAGAGAGATGAATGGAATGAGGTCCATCAATGAAGAAGCATTTACACATATGATGAAGACTCCACCAAGGTTTTAGAGTATATCTTACTTTAAAACCACAAACAAATGTGATGTTGTTCTTAATAACATGTCTGAATCCTTTAATAATGTCATTCTTGATGCAAGGGCAAAACCACTAGTCACTATGTTAGAAGACATCAAAATATACACAATGGATAGATGGGCAAGTAATAGAATGAGATTTGGTACTTTGGATGACAATGATATATTGCCTAATATTAGAAACAAAATTGATGTCACAAACACATACACTAACAACTGGCTTGTAAGGTATGTAATATTAACATACATTATTACTTGTTTGCAAACATTATATAAGTAATATATTCTCTTTATTTATTACTTTAGGATGATTGATGAATATATATTTGAAGTAAGGCACTTGAAAAATCAAGCTGATAAATTTGTTGTAAACCTGAAATATCATATATGTTCATGCAGAAGATGGGAACTCACAGGACTCCCATGTGTTCATGCATTGTCAGTTATGAAAAGTAGGAACTTCAAAATTAATAGTTACATTATAGAGTATTATATGGTTTCAAGGTACAAGACATTTTATAAGCATGTGATCTACCTTGTAAATGGATCAAACTTGTGGGTTAAGACACCATATCTAAATGTGCAACCACTATAGTATAGGAAAATGTCTGGTAGGCCAAAAAAGAGGAGGAATCATGAAGAAGGAGAAATTGATGGGTCCGATCGCAAAATGAGAAGAACATGTTTCGTGGTGAAGTGTAGTAGGTGTAAAAAAGCAGGATACTACAAGTCTACTTGTAAGGACACAACAACACAAACTGCTCAACAATCAGGCCAACCATTTCAAACTCCAGCACATGCTACTCAACAATCAGGCCAACCATCTCAGACTCCAACACAGGCTACTCAACAATCACGCCAACCATCTCAGACTCCAACATAGGGTACTCAACAATCAGGCCGACCATCTCAGACTCCAACACAGGCTATTTAACAATCAGGCCAACCATCTCATACTCCAACACAGGCTACTCGACAATTAGGTCAACCATCTCAGACTTCTAAGGGAAATGCTACTCAAAAGACTCATGGACCTGCTAAAAGCAATACACAAAAGTTACTTATTAGAAAGACAACAAAACCTTTTGTGCCACCTGGGCCTACAACTAGGTTGAGTGCAACCAAGAATGTTGTTGGCCCAGTAATAAGGAGGACTACTCAAACTAAGAGGATCACACCAAAGAAGAACCTTTAGATATAATTAGGCTATCAATTTATGTATTTTGTGTTTTTTGGAACTGCTGTCACGTTTAATTAGGAACCAGTTTATCAGTTTGGAACATATTATCAGTTTGGTGCTGTTTGGAATCCGTTTATGTATTTTGGGCTTTTCGGAACTGTTGTCATGTTATTGAACCAGTTTATGTATCAATTTATGTATTTTGTGGAACATACGTATCAGGTTATGTATCTGTTATAAAATGGAACCAGTTTGTGTCAAAAATTACGTGTTCAAAATTATATGCCAAAATTGCAGGTTATGTTAACTGGTCATGCCCAAAAGTTATAGGTTATGTTTACGGATCATGCCCAATATTCAATTGATACAAATTATGGTAGAGACCATTACAAGTCATGCCCAAAATTATGTGTCAATATTAAATTTCTCTTAACAATCCAAATATTACAAACATATTCAACTGATACAATCCAATCCAAGTATTCATCAGTTACATACAAACTTTAATAAAACTTTAACATAACTGTTACAAACAAACCTTAACCCATTCTTCATAATACCCTAATTCATTCTAAAAACTAATACAATGATAATCATCAAAAACATCAAATTCAAAAGCTTTTTCCACTTCATGATATTCTTCATTTCACTTTCAAGATTCATTAACTTTTTCCCTAATTCTTCATTCACCATTGTGACTTTTTCAATGTCCTTTTTTACTTCAGCAAGTCCCTTTGTAACCACACCCAGCTTATGCATCCAAAATTACTCCTTCTCATCAACCACATCTTCATATAACTAACCAAAATAACCACACCCAGCTTGCATAGCTCCCTGAAATTTTCATTGTTTAGAGTTCAAATATACCTATAAAATGAAACTTAAATAAAAATTATTTTGCATACCTTATAATTTGGACAACTCCAAATTTTTTTTTCCAAATTTTTAATAGTAGTTGCCATTTGAAGGACAACCATGTCTCCACAATGACATATGGGCTTCCATCGTGACCTATTACAAATGTTCGAATCTCCACTTTCTGAGTTATTCTGTTTCAACATCGACGACGAACCATCTGATTTCATGCTTGCCAAAACCTAGGTCTGATTTGAGATGGAAACGAATTTGAAGAGAAGAGAATTAGGAACCTGATCACCCTAACTCTGATTTTTGAAACTGGGAACGAATTTGAGGGTAATGAATAAGAAAGGAACAAGCAACTGCCTTAGAGAAGATGAAGTTACCTTGCCAAGTTAGCTGAGACGTGTTAACACATAAACGAACGTTTGAGGGCAAGTAACAGTGAGGACTCAGGTGACACCATTTAAAAAGTTAAAGTACCAACTTGTCAGTTTTTAAAGTTAAGGGACCAAACTTGACTCCGAGTTAAAGTTAAAAGACGAAAAATAATATTTTACCAAATAAATAATAAACACACTTAAAACGACTAGTTTAATTTTAGTAAACTACCAAAATAATCAAACGTTTGAGACAAAAATGATTGACAAACTCCATTTATTAATAAATTATTCAAAAAAACCATTTCGACTCTCAATAAAATAATTTCAAATATTATTTTTTACGAAAATGAAAATGATCAAGATCACTTTTCCACAAGGGTCTGTTTGGTTGGAGATAAATGGAGGGGAAGGAGGGAAAGAGAGAGAATATTTAATAATTTATGTGTTTGGTTCAAATTTTAAGAGGAGGAGTGAAGTTAGATGAAGGGGACCAAAATCCCTCCTAAACCACTTTTTGCTTTCCCCCAATCTGGAGGGGAGGGGAAATGTTTGATTTTAATTATAATTATATTTCCATATTTACCATTTTTATTTATTTAAATACAAACTTAACTTATAAAAATGTTAAAAATTTTATTTTGAACAAATTTAATCTTTCTTTATATATTTTTATATCTTCGTCTTACTATCATTTTATTTGTTAAATTTTTTTGTTTTATTTTTTATATTTTAATGTTAATTTTAGTTATCATAATATTTTAGTTTCTAATAATAGGAGAACCAAAATTATATATATATATTATGATTATTGCATTTTTATAAAATATTTCATGATGCTCTCTAATTGAATATTTATATTTCGTCAATAAATTTGTATTTGAATTATAAACGGTAAATATCACAAGTCTTATGGTAAAATTAGAAGGATAAAAAAGTAAATTAATTTTAAAATACCTCTTTTCCCTTTGTGAACCAAATATATTTATAAATAAAATATCTCTCCTCCCCTTTTCTTTCATATTTTGAATCAAATATATATGAAATTAAAATCATTTCTCTTCCTCCATTTGTCTCTCCTTTAATCCTATTTAATTTAGAGTTAACATAGACAACCTAAGTATAAAATTAAAATTTGTAATCTTAAAAAAAAACCAAAATTTTATAATCTTTCTAAAAAGTAATTAATTACTATTTTGCTCTTAAATGGCGTGGACTGTGGACGGGTTTGCATTTTTTTCATGAATAAAACTAAAAGACTAAGCCCCGCGGAGGACTATATCGGTGGCGTCGAGTTGAAGTGCGCAGCTTAGCAAAGAAAATACCGTTCACCCTAACAAATACACACACCTTACTCTAACCCTCTTCCTCCTCCTCCTTCTCCTTATTCTTCAACCTCATCAATTGCTCCTTGTATCAATTTCCCCGCATCGCAGTCTCAACTCGCTCAGAGCTCAGTAGAAGGAGCGGTCTGGTTCGGTTACATAACCTCTAGATCAGTGTTGTTTTGTTGAACCCTAGAGATATGATCACATTCACATAGTTACATCAAAGGGGAAATTGTTTTTATTCGTCTCTGCGTAGGTAGCTAGGGTTTAAGCTTTTCATCGCCAACATGAGTCCCGTTCAGAATTTCGAGCAACATTCTCGCCATCTCGTTGAGTCAGACCTCAGTATGTTTTATCTCTCTTTTTCTTTACTGTTTGATTGCGGTTAGAAATGGAGAAATAGAATACTTCATATATGTTGCTTTTCATTGTTCTTGTTTTCTTATAACTTGCTGTAGGAAAATAGATTCAACAGTGTTTTTGTGTTGTTCAATTGGTTTTGGTTTGAATCTTTTTTCTCACGTTGCATTTGGTTAATGTTTTTTTTGGTTTTGTTTCTGGATGGAAACAGCTGTTCAGGCGAGGTTGCAAATGGTGATGGAGGTTAGGGATAGTCTTGAAATTGCTCATACTGCTGAGTATTTGAATTTTTTGAAGTGTTATTTTCGGGCCTTCTCGGGGATACTACTGCAAATTACAAAGCCACAGTTTGTGGACAATCCTGAACATAAGCTTAGGAATATTGTGGTTGAGATATTGAATAGGCTACCACACAGTGAAGTTCTTCGGCCTTTTGTACAAGACCTCTTGAAGGTTGCTATGCAGGTGCTTACAACGGATAATGAAGAAAATGGGTTGATTTGTATTCGTATAATCTTTGATCTTTTGAGGAACTTTAGGCCGACTTTAGAAAATGAAGTCCAGCCTTTTCTGGACTTTGTATGCAAGATTTACCAAAATTTTAAATTGACTGTTAGTCATTTCTTTGAGAACATGGCAATGACAGGGGAGGATGTCAAGCCGATTGATAACTCACTTTCGGATCAAGGTATAAACCCTGCTACTGCCACTGGCTCGCAGCTCAATCCAAGTACCCGTTCATTCAAGATAGTTACGGAGAGTCCACTGGTGGTGATGTTTCTGTTTCAATTGTATAGTCATTTTGTCCAAGCAAATATTCCTCAATTATTGCCTTTGATGGTTACTGCTATATCGGTTCCTGGCCCTGAAAGGGTTCCTCCTCATTTGAGAACTCATTTCACTGAACTCAAGGGCGCACAAGTCAAGGTAGGTTTTATGGTGGAAATGTAAAGATGAAAAATCTATACGACAAAACCAAGAAAAGTCACTTCAATAAACCGTTGATTTTGTATGCCAGAATATACTGAATGAATTGCTTTATTATCTATATCCCACTGTTCTTGCAACAATGGGATATTGCTATTTAAATGTAATTTTAGGAGAGAAGTTGTAAACAAACCCAAAAACTATTGCTATTAGTCTCTATGCATTTCAATATATTAAGATAAGCCCATTGCATCTAAAAAGACGTGGTGGATATATTTTGATTGCCAAACATATGCAAACACTTCTCAGTCTTTTGTATGTTTCTGCTTCTCTCCTTGGGTTTACCAGCAACGTTTCTAATATTAGAAACTTTAAGCCTCCTTCCAGTGGCCACAAGGAAGTGGAGTTATATCCTACTTTAGTCATGACTATTTTGCTGTGAATAATTGAAAAGGCACAAATTTTATCTGTTGATCAATAAATAATTTATTTCCTTAATCCTTTACCTAATATTATCTATCACATGTTTACATGTTTTATTTTTTGTTATTGCAGACAGTTTCTTTTTTAACGTATCTGTTGAAAAGCTATGCTGATTATATAAGGCCACATGAAGAAAGTATATGTAAAAGTATTGTGAATTTGCTTGTAACATGTACTGACTCTGTAACCATTAGAAAGGTGATACAATTGTTTATTTTGCGATTTTGTTATTGAGTTTCTCTTTCTCTGATTTAAAGCCAAAAGTGTTGGATGCAGGAGTTACTAATATCCCTGAAACATGTCCTTGGAACTGATTTCAGGAGAGGCTTATTTCCTCTGATTGACACTTTACTGGAACAGAGGTAACAATATGATTTATTAAAAGATATTGATGCTGACATTTGATGTGAGAATTTCAAATAGGGATCTCTGTTAATAATATTTGGCTTTCCACCATGACCTCCCATCCTCTATCCTTAACATTGGAAAGGATACAGGGAAATTGTGGAACAATAAGAAGAAATTAAGCTTGACAACATACATCTGTATTGGGCTTTCTCTAATGTTAATAGATTTTCAAATTTTCAGGAATCTGGTTGGGACTGGGCGGGCATGCTTTGAGACGTTGAGGCCCTTGGCCTATAGTCTTCTGGCAGAAATTGTACATCATGTTCGGCAGGATCTGTCCTTATCACAGGTATGTCTTCTCTTTATCCCATTTTAGATTTATCCGCCGCATTTAGTGATTTCTTGCAGAAGCACTAGGTGTTGGATTTTATTTTAATATTCACTCTGCTTTTTAGTAATTTATATTTTTATAGAGAATAAGAATCCTATTTTTATTTTATTTTTTACGAACCCTATATAATTAAACTAAGAGTAAACTCACAATTTGGTTCATAAAAGATTTTTGATACAGTCATTGAAAGATTGATAATATCTAATTGGACCTACGAAGACGATAATTAGTCATATCAGCATAACATTAATTTTGTTCCAGTGACTTTTGGACAATTTTAAAGTGAAAAAAGTACACATTAAGGACCAATTTGGTATTTCAAAAATCATTTAACGACTAAAATGTTGGTGTGATCTTAAACTACTAATACAAGATGTTGTCAGACTAAACTAGAATTACCATCAAAAGCATGCCGTAATTCAAGTAAACATATTATCCAGGCTCCAATGAGTTTGGAGCAATATATCATATGCCAATTTAGATATCTCGTAAGGAGGGATGGATAATGTTTTATATATTTCATATTGAATGGGATTAAGTGGTCTTGTGAGCTTCTCTGTAATAAACAGTTAGTGACTATTCCAGAGTGGTTTCTTGATTGAATTAATGAAATCAATATTGTGCTATAGCTTAGTAATGGAGCATTCCACGGACACAATAGGCCACGCAGTAGAGAGCGGTTAGGAGTGTGGCCGTAGTAGCGGGTCTGAATACTCCAATAAAACACCGAGATTTAATTGTTAGGGTATTTTAGGATTTTGCAATTAAAAACACCAAAATAGGGTTACAACTTTACTCCTCCCCCTCTTGCTTTTTTTTTCCACCCTCCGTATCGGTTGGTCACAAATAGCTTTTGTGCATTTATGTATATGTACAAGTTACATAAATTGTATAATTTTTTAGAATAGTGTCCAGCTGTTGGCTTTCCTCCTATAGTGTTTTGGGGGTTGGCCATTATGCTATCCTGTCTGTTCTATCCAGGATTTGTAACACTTGGTTGAATATAATGGAAGATCTGTGAGCTTTGCTTAGTTGATTTGCTATTATTCTGATTTTTGTATTTATGGTTTCATTTATGATTGTAATATATGTTGCTTCGATACTCCATTTTTTTTTCTCACCTAATAATTTTTTTTTCAATACTCCATGTTTCATAAGAAATGAATGTGCACACGAATAAGAAAATATCAAGCCAGCATGTAAATTTCATAAGAACACAAATAAAGTTCACAGTATGGAATAAAACAGGAAACAGACATCAAAGTAAAAAAATATGCTGTGAATTTAAAACTGCTTTGTGTTTTGTGCATTTACTTTTCAATGTAACAAATAATTGCAGCCAGTGTTATCAAATTGCGGCGGCATGCTTGCTATGGCGGATATACATGGCAGTTTTTGGCCTCGCCGCAATGGTAAATATCGGCTGATATTGCGGGTTTTTCAGCCATAATCCGCTATGACGGTGCCGCAAAGCGGCCGCTATGGCGGGATTTTGGCTCTCTGCCATGGGCCACCATCTGCCATCGACAATACTGATTGCATCATAAGAGGGTGGTTACTGGAGTTCTGAAATATTAAATGGCATCTTGAATTGATAGATTTTCTTTTATAATTATTCCTAAATTTATGTGCAACGTTTTGTTAAATAAATATAGATGATATATATATTTTTTATTGTAAACGGAAATTTGTTTGCAGAAGTTTATACATTCCATGGATATTTGTTTTGAATATGATATTTGTCCCATTATATTGCTGCAAATATCTTTCATCTGCAGTGTTTCCATTGCACACAATCTTGCTAATCTGAATTCAATATGGCTGCAGTTGTCGCGAATAATTTACTTGTTTTCAAGTAATATGCACGATGCTTCATTATCATTGAGTATCCACACCACTTGTGCTCGCTTGATGTTGAATCTGGTACCTAACTCTTCTTTAGAATATAGTTAATGTTATTCTCTGTTTTCATTTTCCAATTTCTATCTCCATTCCGTTGATTTTTAGTTCTAATGGATTTATTAAAAAAATACTGAGAATGTTGTTGATATTCATTTTATGCTGTTATTAGCTTATAATGCTCTTCTAGCTTTGTGAAGTGAAATTTATCAGTTTATTTGTGACTTCCATGGTTTTTAGCTTGTATTAGGCGGTTGACATTCTGTATTTCATAGGTATAGTTGTATTCTTTATGTTTTCTTCTATCCTTTTTGTTGTTTTTGGCTTTTATTCTCGCTTTTTGGAATATCTTTTGTTATCTCTTAATCTCTTCTCAGTCAACAAAAGAACTTTTATTTTCTATTTTCTGCCCCATTCCTCTGAAGAGAAAGTTTTAGGTTTTGGTAGCTGTTAAAATTTCCTGTAGCCTTCTTATGTTATGCTCTTTTCATTGGATCCAGGTGGAACCAATTTTTGAGAAAGGGGTTGATCAACAATCTACAGATGAAGCAAGGATCTTATTGGTCTGTTGCACAATTTCTGTTGAGTTTTGGCAATTTGGTTTTGTACTGAATCTTTTTTCTGGGATTGATACAAATGACATTGCTTTGTAGGGCCGTATTCTGGATGCTTTTGTTGGGAAATTCAGTACTTTCAAACGGACAATACCACAGGTTATTTGGAATTACTTTAAAGTTTCATATTGCCACATGATAATTGTGTATATGTAGTTTCATTAACATGAATTGTTTGCAACCTTTCTTTTTGAGGAGTATAATTGTTCGAATATACGAAAACTAATTGTTTGCAACCTTTCAAAGCGTAAAATATCTTATGAAGTTATAATATCCACATCATATCTTAGGCTATTTTTGAATTGGTGGAAAGAAGTGAAATTGGAGGGAATCAAGTGAAATGTCATTAGTTGGCATTGTTTGGATTGTCCTCTAATATGTTGGAATGAACTGGAATATGAAAGGATCCATTACATTTCATTCCCCTTTCCCTTATTTCTTCCTTTGACCGGGAGGTTATGGAATGACATGACTCATTCATTTACTAATATCAATATATATTCTGAGAATATTTAACAAATGGTTAAGCACACATAAACCATTGCTCTACTTGATTATGGTACCTTAAACTTTTCGTCTTCTTGGTCACTTGATGATTTACTAATATGAGTCAATTTTGTCCTAGTGTGTGCTGTACAATGTTGGAATCATATCCTTTTTTAAATCACGTCCTTTTTTAATTTTCTCTGTTACAATTGTTTTTCACTGTTACAAAGTATCCTACTCATTTTCTCTGAATCACGTCCTTTTTAATTTTCTGTTTTGCCCAAGATTGTGCAGCAATTTTTCTGAGATAGTTTAATTCATGTCAATTTCATCAAAAGGAAAATTTAATAGATAGTACTATGCAGCATAAAATTTCATTTTGTCTTCAGAAAAATATTGTATTATTTTATACAGCTATACTACTGCTTGGCTCCTCAATGGTAACGATTCAGAACTAGTCCACTTCTACTCCTGTCAACTCAAGCTTAGCGTCTGATCTTACAAACTACAGCTGTCTGCTTAATGTTTTTTTTTTGCCTAATGCTTTTTTTTTTTTTACTATTCTGAAGTCTTAACCACCTAGCTAGTTTTTATAGCTACTCTAACTGCTTTGCCCCATCTTTTATTTTTCAGTCTAGTCATCATCGAGGACATCTATTTTCTGACATCATAAGTGGATAATGGGTTTTTACTGTTTTCTTTCTTAGTTTGAAATTGTTCCTCAAAAATTTTCTCTGTTCAATCAATGCATAACTCACTGAGGAATACTTAAGTTCTTCTTTGTTTTGGTCTTTTAGGGTGAAGTGGTTTGAACCTGATTTCCCATTTTTTTATGGAGAGTCAGGTTGCTTAGTAAGCTCCTGTTCTTATGGCTTATAAATTCCCCCAATCAGCCTTGCAATATCTACAATATAGTGGTTTACATTCGTGATTTGCTTGTTACTTGTCTGGGTTGCCACATTTGTTTTTAACTTGTTAATGTTATTGTTGTTTTTTGTTTTTATAGCTTTTGGAGGAGGGCGATGAAGGAAAGGATCGTTCTACATTGAGATCAAAGCTTGAACTCCCCGTGCAGGTTGTTAGGAAATTTGAGAATCTTATTCATGCTAAATAATGTGACTGAGATTGAGATATTTATCTTCAAATCCAAATTTGTTTCAGAATGTCATTATTTGCATAACTTCTTGCCGCATTAGCAATTTTGGTGGAAAGAAATTGCTTTATAAGTTATAACTCACTTGTAAAAGAAGGAAAGGAATGAGAAATTGTTAATGTGAAAATTGAATTATACATTTAAGTATGAATAATGTACCAGCACTAATTTCTTTATATAGACTATTCTAATCTAATGAGTCCCACTAATGGACTAAATATCTGAATACAACTTACTACTCACAATAGTAAAAATAAATTATTTACATCAATATACTGTTGGAATTTCCCCTTTCATTGCGGTCTACTTCTAGTCGCTTAAATTGTGACAATTGTCTTGCCTACATTGCATCCTCTAACACTTTCATTGTGTTGGGTTTGAAGGGGGTGAATTAGTCCTGCATTGCTTAGAGATATGGCCTGAGTTGTATTTATAAGTGGGGGTAATCTTCACCTAACAAGCCGGTTTTGTAGGGATGTGTTAGGTCAAACCCACACATTCTAAGATGGTACCATAGCCTATCATTGACCATTTGTTGAGCTTCCTGCATCGTCCATGCTTTGGTCTCATTGAGGCCCAAGCGTGAGGGGGCGAGTTGGAATTTCTGTCTTCATTGCGGTCCACCCCTAGTTGCCTAAATTGCAGCATTTGGCTTGCCTGAATTGTGGCCTCCAACACTTTATTGTGTTGGGTTTGAAGGGGTGGATTTAGTCCCACATTGCTTAGAGATATGACTTGTGTTCTATTTATAAGTGGGGGCAATCCTCATCTTCCATGCTGGTGGTTTTGTAGGAATGTGTTAGGCCCAACTCACATTCTAAAGTAACATCTTATTCTTGGTTTGTAATTCTAGTAAAACTCGAGGACATTGCTTTTTGGAATTCCTCATTATGCCCCATCTAATTCATAGGAACACCATCATTTTATATCAGGATTGTGGATTTGTTGATAAACTCGGGAGGGAATGATGGCAAACATAAGAAAGCATACTCCAAAATTAGGAAGTAAACTTATATATTTATTTGAGAACTATTTAGGTTATGTTATGTATTGAGAATATGGTCATATTGTTTAACTAAATAAAAGCTCTTTTCTCATTAAGTTGGACATTGTAGGCCATCTACATACTGCGATAAGATTCGACCAGAAAGAAGCGAATAATAAAAACAAGATACTGTTAATTTCAATTGAATGAAAAGAATCCCCAGGTAATCAAGAGATCTGAAGTCTTCCATGATATTTCGATGGTTATTATAGTCTCCTCCTAATCCTTTTATCCTCTTTCTCACTCTCCCACCAACTAGTTAAGAACCATTACAAGTCAGTTATATGTTTGCACACTCAGCTAGAGGCTAATTCTCTGTTTCTCTCCTATTTCTCCTAACACAAACAATCTAAATCGAGGTTGTTTGCAGACTCAGCTAGAGGCTAATTCTCTGTTTCTTTCCTATTTCTCCAAACACAAATCATCTAAATCAGAGGTTGTTTTTTCATCACAAAGTTGCTTGAAAATGAGGGTTGTTTTTGGCTAACTGTTACTACAATATATATGTGTTTGTGTTTTTGGAAGTATGTTTTACTGGGATTTTAGTCTTTTCATTCTGGTTCATACGTTTTTACTAAATTTCAGAATAAAGTAACATCTCTTTTTCATTTTCAGTTTCTGAATAGATGAATAAAATGTACTTGTATAGTTGTTCAATGAATCAGAATTTTGTAGACAATTGGATAGCCTACTTGGGTTAAAGAACTTTAAGACCTAAAACATATGAACTAACCAAAACCTGAAACGCCAAGACCTAAAGCATCTGAACTGGTCAAAACCTGAAACACCAAGACCTAATCAAAGCATAATTGATAAGAATGAAGGATGAAAATTGAAAAGTTGTAACTCGTAATTTTTCGTCATTGCACACTGTTGCTGTTTTTAAGGCATGTCTTTAAGTGGAAATAGTACTATTGGGTTAAATGAATCAGAATTTTATAGACAATTGGATAGCCTACTTGGGTTAAAGAACTTTACTCCAAGACCTAAAACATATGAACTAACCAAAACCTGAAACGCCAAGACCTAAAACATCTGAACTAATCAAAACCTGAACACCAAGACCTAATTAAAGCACAATTGATAAGAATGAAGGATGAACATTGAAAAGTTGTAACTTGAAATTTTTCGTCATTGCACACTATTGCTGTTTTTAAGGTATGTCTTTAAGTGAAAATAGTACTATTGCCATTTTTTAAATCTTCATTGTTAAAGTACTATTCTATTTACCATTAACTTGAGTTTTGCTCTATGAAGCACGGACACCGGAAACATGACACCAACACTGACACGTCAACACCGGTAATAATTTGAAGAAATGAATACATTAAACGTAATCACAAGTGTTGGTGTCCGTTTTGGGCACTGGCACACTGTTTTTAATAGGTGTCGGTGCTACAAAGGTTTTGCTTGAAATGACTTCGGCCCATTTTCTCTTTGCAGGCAGTTTTCAATATTGTGGGCCCTCCTGAATATTCAAAGGAAGTAAATGATTACAAGCATCTGATTAAGACACTGGTGATGGGTAATTTATTTCTTTAAATCGTTTGAAGTTCCTTATCTTGGTTTTTTAGAGTGTCAAGCTTTCAACTAGTTTAATTGTTTTTTGTTGACTGGTAAACATACCCAGTTTTATCTTTTTCAGAAGAACATACCATTTTTATCATCAGAAGAATGACCCATTTTTATCATATGATCAGAAATATCATTGCTTTTCTTTTCTTTTTTCTTATTATGACTTTCAGGAATGAAGACCATCATATGGAGCATCACTCATGCACATTCTCCTAGATCCCAGGTAATAAATCCCTGGTATAATGATTGCAGTCTGTGGATCACCTCCTCTGTCCTGCTATATAATGTTTTTCATGTGTGATATTTTCCCGATTCATGGAACATTACAGGTGCTTGTCTCACCTTCATCACCACCTCAAGCATCTAGGGGCATGAGAGAAGATGAGGTACTTCAGATAGGTTTAAGTTGAATGTTGGTGTTTTAAAGCTTAACTTCTTTAGTTGACTTTAGAGTCTTGTGCAGGTCTACAAAGCCTCTGGTGTTTTGAAAAGTGGTGTTCATTGCTTAGCACTTTTTAAGGAGAAGGACGAGGAGAGGGAAATGCTTCATCTTTTCTCACAAATTTTGGCCATCATGGAACCTCGAGATCTTATGGATATGTTCTCTCTGTGTATGCCTGAGCTTTTTGAGTGCATGATCTCCAACACACAACTTGTCCATATATTCTCTACTCTTCTTGCGGCCCCTAAAGTGTACCGGCCATTTGCTGATGTGCTTGTTAATTTTCTTGTAAACAGCAAACTTGATGTGTTGAAAAATCCAGATTCACCTGCAGCAAAACTGGTCTTGCATCTCTTTAGGTCTATATTCGGTGCTGTTTCTAAAGCACCTTCAGATTTTGAACGGATTTTGCAGCCTCATGTGCCTGTCATAATGGAAAATTGCATGAAAAGTTCTACTGAAGTTGAAAGACCTCTTGGTTACATGCAGTTGCTTCGAACAATGTTCCGGGCACTTTCAGGGTGCAAGTTTGAGCTTTTGCTGCGGGACCTGATCCCCTTGTTGCAGCCTTGCCTCAATTTGCTATTGGCTATGTTGGAAGGGCCAACTGTGGAGGATATGAGAGATCTTCTATTAGAGCTCTGCATGACCATGCCTGCCCGTTTGAGCTCTCTGTTACCATACCTGTCTCGTCTTATGAAGCCTCTGGTATTATGTCTCAAGGGAAGTGATGAACTAGTAAGTCTTGGTTTACGAACGCTAGAGTTTTGGGTCGATAGTTTAAATCCTGACTTCCTAGAACCCAGTATGGCTAATGTCATGTCTGAGGTGATTCTGGCCTTGTGGTCTCACCTAAGACCAGCTCCCTATCCTTGGGGTGCTAAAGCATTACAGCTTCTTGGAAAGTTAGGTGGGAGAAACAGGCGATTCCTCAAAGAGCCTCTGGCACTCGAGTGTAAAGAGAACCCCGAGCATGGGCTTCGCCTGATTTTGACATTTGAGCCTGCCACCCCATTCTTGGTGCCACTTGATCGATGCATAAATCTCGCTGTAGAAGCTATAATGAACAGAAATTGTGGCATGGATGCTTTCTATCGGAAGCAGGCTCTAAAGTTCCTTCGTGTGTGCTTATCATCTCAACTCAATTTACCTGGAACTGTTACTGATGAGGGAAGCACATCCAAACAGCTGTCTACATTGTTGGCTTCTACGGTTGATCATTCTTCACGCAGGTCTGAGTCAATTGATGTAAAGGTTAGTTTGCTACTATTATGTTGCTTCTCAAATTCTCTAAAACACTGTACAAGCACTTCTGATTAATGTGGGGACACATCTAGTTTCTGCTAGGGATGGCAAAATGGGTTAGACCCGTTGGGTTGGCCCGTTTAGTCAGTTGTTTTTGGTGGGGCGGAGTTGGGATTTTGAACCCCCACTACTAGTTGGCCCACCCCGCTAACTAAATGTGGTGCTAACGAGGCGAGGCAGGTTGACTTGTTGGGTTAAAAGAAGATTAAACTAACTCTTTTTTTACACTTCTTTTTACATATAAATCACAATTCATTTTCTAAATTTTTCCTCCGAAGAGTAGAGAGAGAAGTCATTTAGTATGATCCCATCACTTTAGTTTCTTGAATTTAACCTCACGTTTCTTATAATTTGTCAATTTGTTAACTAACCAAATTTTTATTTTAGATTATTGAATTATTATAGAGTTATAGGCGATTAAATATGAATATATAATATAAATGATAATTTTCATATTTTTAGTGGACTCATTATTATATATTACCAGTGTCTTTATATTTATTTATTTCTTATGTTTTTGTATTAATTTTGTAATTATGTTAATTAATTTTAAGAAAAATATTGATGGGTCTACCCGCCGACCTGTCATAAAAAGGAGTGGGGTGAGATTTTCAATCCAACACCTCTAATTGGTCCGCCCCACCCCTTTTAAGTCTGGTTAATGACGGAGTGCGTCAAAACAGGACTGGTCCTTTTTGCCATCTCTAGTTTCTGCACACCACATTTTATAGATCACTCCTACACAACAGTCTAATAGATTGATCAATAATTTTGCCACAGCTTATTACCATTATGTTCCTTTTGCTGAATGACATGACATTCACGACCTGAAAATGATATAACTACTTGTGCTTCTTCTTCAGTGTCTCTCTTCCTGTTCTCTCTAGTATTTTGCATTCAATTATTACCTATTTAAATTGGGTTTGTGCTATGGTTTATTTATCGTTGCTGTCATATAATATTTAGCATGTCATTTTCAGGCTGATTTAGGAGTTAAGACGAAGACTCAACTTATGGCTGAGAAATCTGTTTTCAAGATTCTTTTAATGACTATCATTGCTGCCAATGGTGAGCCAGATCTCACAGATTCTGCAGATGATTTTGTTGTCAATATATGTCGCCATTTTGCGATGATATTTCACGTCGATTCTTCATTCAGCAATGTATCAGCAGCGGCAATGGGTTCATCGCTATCCGTGCATGTTGGTTCTAGGATAAAATCTAGTGTTTGTTCAAATCTGAAGGAGCTGGATCCTTTGGTATTCTTGGATGCTTTAGTTGATGTACTGGCAGATGAAAACAGGCTCCATGCCAAAGCTGCTCTTGATGCTTTAAATGTGTTTGCCGAAACACTTGTATTTCTTGCTCGTTCAAAACATACTGATTTCGTAATGTCCAGAGGGCCTGGCACACCTATGATTGTCTCTAGTCCATCAATGAATCCCGTGTATTCTCCTCCCCCTAGTGTGCGTGTTCCTGTGTTTGAGCAATTATTGCCCCGTCTTCTTCATTGTTGCTATGGACTTAAATGGCAAGCACAAATAGGCGGTGTCATGGGACTTGGTGCTTTGGTTGGAAAGGTTACTGTTGAGACCCTCTGCCTTTTTCAAGTAAGAATTGTGCGAGGTCTAACATATGTCCTTAAAAAGCTTCCAATTTATGCTAGCAAGGAGCAGGAAGAGACAAGTCAAGTGCTCACTCAGGTTCTTCGAGTAGTGAATAATGCCGATGAAGCAAACAGTGAGGCACGGAAAAAGAGCTTTCAAGGAGTAGTAGATTTTCTCGCTCAAGAGCTATTCAACCAGAATGCCTCTATCATTGTGAGAAAGAATGTACAATCATGCTTGGCACTTTTAGCTAGCAGGACTGGTAGTGAGGTGTCCGAATTACTAGAGCAATTGTATCATCCATTCCTCCAGCCTCTCATAGTGCGGCCGCTTAAGTTGAAGACAGTTGATCAACAGGTATCCTTAAATTCTTATTTCATTATGGTTGTTTATTTGTTCTTTCTTTGAGCTTTTATTCATTCAATAGTTCACTTGATTATATTGTGTAGGTTGGAACAGTTACAGCATTGAACTTTTGTCTAGCCTTGCGGCCACCTCTTCTCAAGTTGACTCCAGAGTTAGTTAACTTCCTCCAAGACGCATTACAAATAGCAGAGTCTGAGGACAATGCATGGGTTGCTAAGTTTATCAACCCCAAAGTTGTGACATCGTTGACTAAACTTCGAACAGCTTGCATTGAACTGCTATGCACAACAATGGCATGGGCTGATTTTAAGACTCCAAATCATTCTGACTTGCGTGCAAAGATCATCTCAATGTTTTTTAAGTCTTTAACATGCCGGAATCAAGATATTGTTGCTGTTGCTAAGGAAGGCCTGCGGCAGGTATAATCAGCTTTTATGTTGTATACTTTAAGCTTCGTTATTGGCTTGATTGCAATGCATGTGCAGATATATGATAAATACTAGTTAATTCTGGGATCATTTGGTCCTAATTATATATTCCACTCCATTACAGTATTTTCATTCTTATTGTTCTGGTGTTGTTAAAAGATCAAATGATATCGTTACTATATCTTAACTGTGCATGTTTTTAGTTTGGACATACATTTTTAGTTCATGAAAATCTGCCAAAGTTTTACGTCCATTGATGATTGAGTAAGACAACCCAGAGTTATTAATCCCATATAGTGGAGCGGAGCGGCCGACCCCAAAAATGGGATAGCGGATAGTGGGATAGTTTTTTGGACTAATTATATGAATAATCTAACTATATATTTAATGTAGATTAAATAATTTCTTGGACTAATTATATGAAAAAAACAACCTGAAAACAAATAGAAAAACAATGAATAGAGAAGAACAGGATAAAGAACAAAATCGAAATGCAGAAAACAGAAGTAGAAGTAGAGAAGAAGAAGAATGGAAAGAAGCTTGAAGCAGTTGAGGCGGAGGAGGAGTTAGGGCAAGAGAAGCAGCGAGCGAGAAACGCGAGAAGCATTGTACAGAAGAAACACGATGGAGAGAGGAGAACACACGAACAACTATATTAAATTTTCCAATTTTAAATTTTTTTAAGGGTAAAAAGATCTTTTTGCACTCCAAAAAGCCCTAAAAGCCAAAAACCGCACCGGGGCCAGGAAGCGCTCCGCTCCCGTTACCCGCTATTCCAGCTTTCCTGGCCGCTATCCAAAACTGGGATGCGCGCTGCTCTTTCGTAGCGGAGGGTTGCTGCACCGGGAGAGAATCCCTGGATAGAGTCTGGAGCGGCCGCTATTAATAACTGAGACAACCTTCTTTTTTGGGTGTGGAACTATAAGTAGTTCATACCCAATATCGATACAGGTGCTTTTAGTGTACTTGGAATTATATTTTAACCTCAAATAATGCTATATGCCTTGTATCACGTAGGTTATAAATCAAAGGATGCCCAAAGAACTTTTACAAAGCAGCCTTAGGCCTATATTGGTCAATTTAGCTCATACAAAAAATCTCAGCATGCCTCTTCTACTAGGCCTTGCCCGCCTGCTTGAGCTGTTATCCAATTGGTTCAATGTTACCTTGGGCGGAAAACTTCTAGAGCATCTAAGGAGGTGGCTGGAGCCTGAAAAGTTGGCACAATGTCAGAAGTCATGGAAGGCTGGTGAAGAACCAAAGATAGCTGCAGGTTATACATCTATGGTCTAACCCACTTAATGCAAATTTTTCTAATGCATCTCCTAGTCTTATTCTTTGCATTGATGGCATTATTCTCTACCGCTGCAGCTATAATTGATCTTTTTCACTTGCTTCCTCCCGCTGCTTCTAAGTTCCTCGATGAACTTGTAACCATGACTATTGATTTGGAAGGAGCTCTTCCTCCTGGACAAGTATACAGTGAAATAAATAGTCCATACCGCCTTCCAATTACAAAGTTTTTAAATCGATATGCACCTGTTGCGGTTGATTATTTTCTTGCTCGATTAAGTGAACCAAAATATTTCAGGCGGTAAGTTTTTATAATGCTAATTTTTAATTAAATCACTAATAATTTCGGATGCTGACTTTGTTTCTTTGTTCTATGCTGTTTGTTGTAAATTCAGTTTTATGTATATAGTTTGTTCAGAAGCCGGTCAGCCGTTGAGAGATGAACTTGCAAAATCACCACAAAAGATACTTTCTAGTGCATTCTTTGAATTTCTTCCCAAATCTGAGGTGTCAATGGCTTCATCATCCACGACTACACATACTACTTTATCAAGTGAAGAAAGCCATGTTTCTGCATCGACCGATGCCCCTAATGTTCTTGTTCCTACTTCCAATGCAACTTCCGATGCTTACTTTCAGGGTCTAGCACTTATTAAAACCCTAGTCAAATTAATACCCGGCTGGTTACAAAGTAATCGTGTCGTGTTTGATACATTAGTACTAGTATGGAAGTCACCTGCTAGAATATCCCGGCTGGAAAATGAACAGGAACTGAACCTAGTGCAAGTAAGTATATACAAAGCTCAATTTAGTTAGTGCTCTATCATCATTGCTGATTTTAGATGCATGACTAAGTCATCTTCATGGATTTGCAGATCAAAGAAAGTAAATGGCTTGTGAAGTGCTTTTTGAATTACTTAAGACATGACAAAAATGAAGTAAATGTTCTCTTTGATATACTTACCATATTCTTATTTCATAGTCGGATCGACTATACATTCCTGAAGGAGTTTTACATCATTGAGGTAATTCATTACTGGATATGAATTTTCTGTTGTGATCAAATCTCGTTCTTGTATTTCATCATTCACATGAACTGTTGTGGTGCCTTTTAGGTTGCAGAAGGTTATTCTTCGAGCATGAAAAAGGCCCTCCTGTTACATTTCCTCAACCTTTTCCAATCAAAGCAACTTGGGCACGACCATTTGGTGATTGTAATGCAAATGCTTATTCTTCCAATGCTTGCACATGCCTTTCAAAATGGGCAAAGTTGGGAAGTTGTTGATCCTGCAATTATTAAAACAATCGTCGACAAACTTCTTGATCCTCCAGAAGAGGTATATCCTGCTATGTTTGAATTTTACACGACCTTTCCTTTAAATCATTATTAGTGAATGTTTGTGATGCAACTTTTGATGCTCATACGTGTCTCTCAATGCATCTCTCTTTTGTAGATTTCTGCAGAATACGACGAGCCTTTAAGAATAGAATTATTGCAGCTTGCAACTTTGCTTCTTAAGTATCTTCAGAATGATCTTGTCCATCATAGGAAGGAACTAATAAAGTTTGGGTGGAACCATCTTAAGCGTGAAGATACTGCAAGCAAACAATGGGCATTTGTGAATGTTTGCCATTTCTTGGAAGCATATCAAGCGCCTGAAAAAATAATACTTCAGGTATGGAAACATTGACTTTTGTTTACATGCTCTCTAAACAATGTCTTGTTCACATGTAGATTACTTCAATTTGTTATTATTTGGATGACTGGGAGATTTTTCGTATGGAAATACAGTTTTGTCTAATCACTTGACTTTACATCCTATTGTTTTTTAATTTTCATCCCTATTTTGGAAGTGTAACGAAGGTGAGGATACTATATCCTCTTTTGAGCCTAGTACAAACTCAAGCTTGCAGCATTAGTTTGGAAATAACATTAGTAGTTTTAGTGTTTGGATGATTTCTTGCAAAATTTGATTCCCTATGGGCTATGGCTATTCTGTCTACACCTTTTTTCTTTTTTAGTTAGTAGACAATATTGTACTTGCAGTTTTTAGGTTTATTATTGTTAAAAATGTTTGACATATATCATTCATGATTATTATTCTCTTTCAATGACAAGCATTATATATTTTTTAAACATCCCAGAGTTTCTTTCTTTTTATGAGTTATTTTTTTGGGGTTTGAGTTTTGATATAGAAGTTGGAGGTAGTCATTATTATTGTGTTTTGTGATTTGTTTGATATATATGTATGAGTTGATGCCTATAGATTGAAAATTTCTGAACCTATAGGAAGACACTGGTTTTATTTGAAATCTCAAGGTGCTTTGAAAGTCTGTATTACATGTACCTAATTCAATTTCATCTGCATAATATAAGCGCGTCTGGATAATATCATATCTATTCAGACGATGCACCAACACTCAGATACTGATTTGCAACTGCAGGTTTTTGTAGCTCTTCTTAGGACCTGCCAACCAGAAAATAGAATGTTGGTCAGACAGGCTCTTGACATTCTAATGCCAGCACTGCCACGACGTTTGCCTCTCGGTGATTCTCGGATGCCCATATGGATAAGATACACAAAGAAAATACTTGTTGAAGAAGGTCACTCAATTCCAAATCTTATTCATATATTCCAACTTATTGTCCGCCATTCGGATCTATTCTACAGCTGTAGAGCACAGTTTGTTCCACAGATGGTGAATTCTCTGAGTCGCCTGGGATTGCCATACAATACCACAACAGAGAACAGACGACTTGCCATTGAGCTTGCTGGATTAGTTGTTAACTGGGAGAGGCAAAGACAAAATGAGATGAAAGTTGTTACTGATTCTGATGCTCCGAGCCAAATCAGTGATGCCTTTAATCCTAACTCAGCTGAGTCTAAGCGAGCTGTGGATGGGTCCACATTTGCCGATGATACAACTAAGCGAGTCAAAGCAGAACCTGGTCTTCAACCTCTCTGTGTCATGTCACCTGGTGGTCCGTCATCAATCCCCAACATTGAAACCCCAGGATCTACTAGTCAACCTGATGAAGAATTTAAACCAAATGCTGCTATGGAGGAGATGATTATAAATTTTCTTATCAGAGTGAGGCTTACTTCTAATATGCTTTTTAGCCTTTTGCATAGTATTGGTGCTGGCAGGTTAATTCATAAAAAGCTTTTTTTTTTTAAAAAAAAAATCTGGGAAGAGGCTATATGCAATACTTTACGCTCTGGCTGCATAAATTGCTGTTGCTTTTCCCAAAAAGCCTTACAAACTTGTAGTTTGAATTTGATGATGTTGAAAAATGCTTTGTTATACTGTCATTCTTTTATTCTAATCTCACTACATATCTCGTGTAGCCAACGTCTGCATTTGTAATAGATAAATAGTTGAGGTAACATGTTATTTATCTTAGTATTACAGCTCTCACCTTTATTTTGGGGTGTAGAGTCATCAAGTATGCATATGTGTGAAAGTGTGGTCACTTATATTTTGAGGCAAAAGTTTAATTAGTTTATTGAAAGTTCCTCATTTCCCATTCAACATCCCCTCCTAAATCTTTTGTTTGTCAAGATGCCTGTTGCGGATTAACTCTGATTTCTGTAATTAGGTTGCTTTGGTTATCGAACCCAAGGACAAGGAAGCAAGTGCCATGTACAAACAAGCTTTGGAGCTACTTTCACAAGCTTTAGAGGTGTGGCCAAATGCAAATGTAAAATTTAATTATTTGGAGAAGCTGTTGAGCAGTATACAACCATCTCAAGCAAAAGACCCTCCCACTGCGCTGGCACAGGGTTTGGATGTCATGAACAAAGTTTTAGAGAAACAGCCTCACTTGTTCATAAGAAACAACATTAACCAAATTTCTCAAGTAGGCCTATTATCATGCCATATGTTTGTCTGATTTTCCAAATGCTTCAATATTTGTAGTGATTTAATTGTTTTTCCTTCCAGATTCTTGAACCATGTTTCAAGCATAAACTTTTAGACGCTGGCAAGTCTTTTTGCTCACTGTTGAGAATGATTTGTGTTGCTTTTCCTCAAGAAGCGGCTTCAACACCTCCTGACGTTAAATTGTTGTACCAGAAGGTTGACGATTTGATACAAAAGCATGTTTCCACAGTCACAGCTCCTCAAACATCTAGTGATGATAATAATGCCGGTGCAATTAGTTTTTTATTGCTTGTCATTAAAACATTGACTGAGGTACAGAGGAATTTTATTGATCCTTTAGTTTTGGTTCGCCTTCTTCAGCGGCTGCAACGTGATATGGGTTCATCATCAGGTTCTCATATAAGACAAGTATGTTAGATTTTCCCCTCATGTATTTCTATTATTAGTGTTAGAGATACTTTTTGTAGAAATATGGAAATATTTTATATATCTTGTAAAGAATACATAAGGAAATATTTTATATATCTTGTAAAGAATACATAAGAGGTATTTATAGACTATACATCTATCTAAATAAGGGTGTAATTATTCTCCTATAAATGCTAATTATTCATAATAAGTTGTATAGGATAGCAGCTCATAATGAGCTGTATGATATTCAACATATTCTAATAATAATAATACTAATATTACAACACTCCCCCTCAAGCTGAGGAATGGATATCTATCATCCCCAGCTTGCAAGTAAGATCTCGAAACCGCTCTAAGGGGAGTCCTTTGGTGAGCACATCAGCTAACTGGAGTCCTGATGGGACGTACTGTGTAGAAATAAGACCACTGTCCAATTTCTCTTTGATGAAGTGTCGGTCTATCTCTATATGCTTTGTTCTGTCGTGTTGGACCGGATTGTGAGCAATACTAATAGCAGACTTATTATCACAGAAAAGTCTCATAGGAGCTTCATATTTTATTTTCAAGTCATCTAGAATAATCTTCATCCACAACAATTCACAAACTCCTTGAGCCATGGCTCTAAACTCTGCCTCTGCACTTGATCTGGCAACTACATTTTGTTTCTTGCTCCTCCATGTCACTAAGTTTCCACCTAAGAACATACAATATCCAGTGGTGGATCTCCTGTCAACAATCGACCCTGCATAATCTGCATCAGTATAGACCTCCATAGACAACTGCTCACTTTTCTTGAACAATAGACCTCTTCCTGGGCTCATCTTTAAATACTGCAGGATTCTATCCACAGCCTGTAAGTGCCTCTCCTCTGGATCATGCATGAATTGACTGACAACACTAACCGGATAAGCTATGTCAGGCCTGGTGTGAGATAGATAAATGAGCTTTCCCACAAGTCTCTGGTATTGAGCTTTATCAACCCTTGGACTTTCCTCATCACTCCCAATCCTGTGGTTTTGCTCTATAGGCACTCTGCTAGGTTTACAACCCAACTTGCCAGTCTCTTTGAGAAGGTCAAGGACATATTTTCTCTGAGAAATGAAAATGCCTTGTTTTGAGTATGCTACTTCCATACCTAGGAAATATTTCAACTTTCCAAGGTCCTTCATTTCAAACTGAGCTGCTAACTTCTTCCTCAAGTTCATCTTCTCAAATTCATCATTACCTGCTATGATCATATCATCTACGTAGACTAACAAAAGAGTGAGTTTACCATTTTGAGAATGCTTTATAAAGAGAGTATGATCACCTTGGCTTTGTTTATAACCCAAGGACACCATAACATGAGTGAGCCTTCCAAACCAAGCTCGAGGTGATTGCTTGAGCCCATATATGGCCTTCTTTAATCTGCAAATCTTATTACTTCCTAAAGTAGGGTCATATCCAGGTGGGATCTCCATATACACCTCTTCCTTCAAATCTCCATGCAAGAAAGCATTTTTCACATCAAACTGTTGCAACTCCCAATCAAAGTGAGCTGCCAAGGAAAGAATGATTCTTACAGTGTTCATTTTTGCTACTGGAGCAAATGTCTCTTCATAATCAATTCCATAGGTCTGGGTGTATCCCTTTGCTACTAGCCTCGCCTTATATCTGTCCAATGTGCCGTCGGATCGATATTTTACCGTATATATCCATCTGCAACCTACTGGCCTCTTGTCATTTGTCTTCTCAATAATCTCCCAAGTCCCATTTTTCTCTAGTGCCTGCATCTCTTCATTCATGGCTTGAATCCAGTTCTTATCCTTTAATGCTTCTTGTACTGATGTAGGGACTCTAATAGAGTCAATAGCTGAAATAAAACTCTGATGCTGCACAGAAAGTTTTTCAGTAGACACAAACTGGGATATAGGGTATTTAGTACAAGACCTTTTTTCTTTTCTCAAAGCAATAGGTAGGTCATCAAGGTTCAGCTCACAAGAATTACTAGGCTCAGGGTTAGGAACACTTACCTCAGGTTCAGACGATTGGACTTGTTGGGGCAGAACGGGTTTACCTTTCCACCTTTTTCGCTGGAACTGTAACTTGTATCTGTCAACGTTATTATGCACCGGTATTGGTACATCACCACCATCCTCATCATTATTATGCACCGGTATTGATACATCACCACCATCCTCATTAGGCATCAAAGGCTCTTGTATTACAGGAATAACAGGAAGAACAGACAATTCAGGAGACGACTCTGGGTCCTGTATTAGAGGAATAACAGGAAGAATAGACAACTCTGAAGACTCAGCTTCTTGATTATTCTCCCCCTGAAGCTGAGGATTGGGATAAAAAGACTCTGATTCCTGAAAAGTAACATCCATGGATATATAGACACGACGACTAGGAGGATGATAACACTTGTACCCCTTCTTATCTGAAGCATATCCTATGAAAATACATTTAATAGCTCGAGGATCTAACTTACCTCGATGAGGGCCATGAACATGGACAAAGGCAGAACAACCAAAGACACGATTCTGAAGACTTGACAAGATGGGCACAGACGGAAAGAATTGAGTCAGGACCTGCACAGGACTAACACCAGATAACACCCTAGAAGGTAACCTATTGATTAAATAAGCAGAGGTCAAGACAGCTTCCCCCCAATAAAATTTAGGAACATTCATTTGAAAGCGTAATGCTCGGGTGATTTCAAGAAGATGACGATTTTTTCTTTCAGCAACCCCATTTTGTTGTGGAGTGTTAACATAAGTCAACTCATGAACAACACCATTAGTTTTGAGAAAATTGTAAAAATTTTGGTTTACATACTCCTTACCATTGTCTGACCGTAACCGTTTAATAGGTTTTCCAAACTGTGTTTTGACCATTTGAAAAAAGTTAACAAACAATTGACACACTTCAGACTTATCTTTCATAAGAAAAACCCATGTAACCCGAGTACAATCATCAATAAAGGTAACATACCATTTTGCCCCAGAAATATTGGAAATGGATGAAGGCCCCCATACATCAGAATGAACAAGATCAAAGGGTTCGACACTCCTAGTATTACTAGGGGAATAGGTTGCTCGATGAGATTTGGCAAACTGACACACATCACAATGAAAGGAATCAACAGACACTTTGGTAAATAAGTGAGGGAATAGAGACTTGAGCATCTGGAAAGGAGGATGTCCAAGACGCCTGTGTTGGAGCCATATTTGAGCATTTGCCCATGACTCTGAACCAGCCTGATGACACTTACTTTCCTTATGAGGCAGACAATATAACCCGTTCTGTTCCTCAGCAATTCCAATCGTCTTACCTGTGGCAAGATCCTGAAAAACACAATGAGAATGAAAAAAGGTTACTACACAGTTCAAGTCTTTAGTGAGTTTATGGATGGACAAAAGATTGTTAGAAAGCTTAGGGACATGAAGCACATCATTTAGGTGGAGAGATGGGCTTAGGTGGATGTTACCAGATCCGACAATCGGGGTTTGAGACCCATTTGCAACGGTAATATGGCTTTTATTAGGTAAAGGTGAATAAGAAGAGAGATATGACATATATGGAGTCATGTGATCAGTTGCACCAGAGTCAATAATCCAGATATCTTTAGAACAAGAGGCATTAAAAGCTAAGGAGCTAGAATTCTTACCCATCATGGTCAGAGAACTAGTGTTAGAGAACTTACTCAAGGAGTCCATAGAGAGAAACAAACCGTCTCGAACCAGGAGAGGATCGAGATCTACTGTTAGGAGAGGATCGAAGGGCTGCCAATTAGAAACACCAACAACGATGACAACCGAACAATCAAGGGCTGCAAACAGCAAGTAAATAGAGGTACGGCAATAAAGGCTGTCCTAAAAAAAAGATGAAGGTGAAAACGTCCGGATCTGCAACGGTGGTTGAGCGGTGCACGATGGCTGCAAAGTCACCAAGATCACTAGGGTTCCAAGAGAAAGGGAACCTTGAAAAAAAAAGGACCGTAATAAGAACGGCTAGTGTTTTGAGCGCGGAAGCAGAGCCCCTAGAATCGGGAGCTCTGATACCATGTAGAAATATGGAAATATTTTATATATCTTGTAAAGAATACATAAGAGGTATTTATAGACTATACATCTATCTAAATAAGGGTGTAATTATTCTCCTATAAATGCTAATTATTCATAATAAGTTGTATAGGATAGCAGCTCATAATGAGCTGTATGATATTCAACATATTCTAATAATAATAATACTAATATTACAACACTTTTACTAAAGGCATGGCAGCTGGCGCCTGTGCCAGTTTGCATGCAGTTTGTTTCTGTTAGAACAGCTCCTTGAAACCAGGAACTTTCCCTTGATTAGAGGAGTTAGTTAGAAGTTAATTTAGCCTAACTAAAACTCTATATATAGAGTTGAACCCATTGTATTCAGTAACAATACAATCATAATATTATATTCTGAAGTAAACACAGTGGTCGAACTGACTTCTGATGAAACTTATGCGTGCCATGAACTTGTCGAATCTCCTATTCCACTATCGAGGAGATTGTTTCAGTCCATATAAATATCTCTTTAGTTTGCACACATAATCTTCCTTCCCCCTTTCGACATACCCTTCAGGTTGCCTCATCAGGATTGTTTCATCTAAATCACCATACAAGAACACAGTCTTCACATCCATCTGTTCCAGTTCAAGGTCGAACTGTGCCACTGTGGCTAACAACATTCTCTCTTCTCCAATCAATACAATCATAATATTATATTCTGAAATTTCAATATGGTATCAGTTAGTTCTCTCTCGATTTTAGCATGTATTCACGACTTTCTCCAATCCACAGCTTTCCCTCTTCTCAAGTTAGACTCTCTCATCCGATTTCAGTAAAACTCTCTCATCTGAACTCTGTAAAGCTTAAAGACAAGAATTTCAAGCAATGGAAACAACAAATTGATGGTGTAATCAGAGGCCACAAATTGCAGAAATTCATCACTGATCTATCACAGGTCAAGATCATGTTGCT